ACATTTAATTTATACGTATAATTATTTATTTACCAACAAAAATATAAAATATATGATTATTTACAGATTTTTGTAACAATATGCGGGGCGTAGAAACTTAAATTATGTGGCATTTTTAAATGCATTATTGCGTTTATAATTAATAATTAGGAAAAATACTATCTATAAATGTATAATATGTATTTTGATAAAGTTCTAGTGAAAGATGGAAATTATGTTTTATATATATAATTTTATCGATTGTCAATTACATCTTTGACAATCAGATTTTCGTACTGCTTTCTAAAACTATACACGTAAAGCTGTGTGCATTAATATTTGTTCTAAATGTTAGTATATCATTATGAGAATTCATAGAAATGGACATGCATATATTGTTAGAAACAGACATTTAATGATAAATCGCGTAAATAGTTAGAACTATCCATCATCGTACAGTAAACTGTGTAGTAATTCCGGAGTCTCCGGTTGTTTCAAGCAGAGAGATACTTTGTCCTGCAAGTTAGTAGAGTATTTGCTTTGTCCCAGTTGATCAAGATCGCGATCTAAAATCGTTTCAATTTCGTCATCGATGTACAACGGATTTTCATAAATCTTCGATACGTATGAACCGCTCTGTTCCGTAGAATTTATCGTTTCATTTATTGTATTCTGCAATTCTGTCTCAGACATATTAACCGTATTATAATTATTTAATGTTACAGGTACATCACAATTAACTATCTGATTAGTATATTGAATCTGCCCTCTCAGTTCGGTCAAAGAACCGGGTAACTGATGATACTTCACCTGGTGCATTTTCAAATTACTAGTTTGCGAAAATGTTTTCATACAAAAATTGCAATGATAAGGTCTTTCTCCTGTATGACACCGCGAATGTCTCTGTAGCTTATATTTTGTTACAAATTGTTTACCACAGTCTGAACAAGTAAACGAACTATTTCCTATTTGTAAATTTTGATTATTAGCAGACTTCTCCACATCCATGTGAAAGTTTATCATATGAGACTTCAATGATACTTTATAACGGAACGATTGATGACAATTCGCGCATTGAAATTGTTTTTTCCCTTCGTGCCTTTCTATATGTTTCATCAATATTTCTTGCTGATTGAAAGACATTCTACAAATCTGAAAACAATGTTTCGATATTAATGAATTAAATTCTTCGTGTGATTTAATATTGAGTTGATTCCACTGAAATATAAGAATTTATTCTCTTACGAACATTACAAATAAACGGTCGTTGCCCTGTGTGAATCCGTTTATGTCTATTCAAATGTGCCTGACACCTGAAGCTTTTAGCACATATTGGACATATGCTTTTTCTTGAACCTTGTTTTCCTAAAGGATTTTTCGATACTGTATCATTTGCTTTCAATTGACATAGCATACTCTGAAAATTAATCAAACAAATAATAATTACATTCTGAAAAATAAGTTTACATAATGATAAATCATCGAATACCTCAGTAAAATCAATTTCCAATGACGGAGCAGCAAGTTGTTTCTGTACATTTGCTACCATTATATAAAACTCATCGAATGTACAAATTTTTTGTTCGCAATCGATACAAACATATTTGGAGAATGTATCAGAATTTGAAATGTTCATTACCTAGCCAAAAGCACAGGTTAAAATCAATTTAATATATATGTATACAATAGACACTTAAACGTACCTCCTTTGAGAAATATTTGTTTATAATAGAGATTAAAACAGTCCCTTTAATTTTATCTGTAAATAAATCTGTGCCTTGCAGTTTTTCTTTGCCGCAAAGTCTGCATAACTTTACATTTGCATTATGTAGCATCATTATTTATAGATGTTTTAGATTCACCTAAAAATTTCAATTAAATCAATGGAACAAATCGTACAGCTAATATAATTTGTAGAAAATAGAAATTTTCTATTGAGAAATGTTCTATTTTCAATTGTTTATATAAAAGTAAGGATTGTGTGTGTGTGTGTGTGTGTATTTGCATCGTGTATAACATTTCTATGAATTTGTGTCACTTTAATGTATCTTTTAAATAAATTCATAGACATTAATGTGATGCATTCATAGAGAATGCACCTCTTTCAAAAGTTTGACGTTTTCTTTGTATACCTTCTGTCAATTTACTATTAGATAGAAAAGTTGAAAGGTTGAGAATTACGAGAAAAATTATTACTTTTGAGTCTCTTTACTCCTCTGGATAGATACGAAATGATAATGACAAATGTTTCATTCACAAAAAATGCTTTATGAGAAAAATAATTGGAAAAGTGTTATGTATACAGATTTGCTCACACAAACAGGATTTAACGATTCTTTCCAGAGCCTGGAATTCTTGAAAAAGGTTGGATAACGCCGGGGTTATGTGTTATACCGCTTGAGGCGCTGGTGTCGTTATATACAACAAAACACAGTTGTACAAATTTCTTATTATTTATAAAAGTATGAATACAAACAT